CCATAGGGACCTCCCCCCAAGATCCCAGTGGCGCAGTCTGCATGGCGGCGCCGCCCCATGTTGTCACACCGCTCACACGCTTCGTGGCCCCACCACCTAAGATCAATGGCGGCACCTCCCCATTTTGGCACCCCCATGACACGCTTCGTGGCCCCATAGGGAGCTCCACCTAAGGTCCCAGTGACGCAGTCCGCATGGCGGCGCCGCCCCATTTTGGCGCACCCCTCACACGCTTCGTGGCCACATAGGGAGCTCCACCTAAGGTCCCAGTGGCGCAGTCCGCATGGCGGCGCCGCCCCATTTTCGCACACCCCTCACACGTGTAAGGAGCTCCACCTAAGGTCCCAGTGGCGCAAACCGCATGGCGGCGCCGCCCCATTTTGGCACACCCCTCACACGCTTCGTGGCCACATAGGGAGCTCCACCTAAGGTCCCAGTGGCGCAGTCCGCATGGCGGTGCCGCCCCATCTTGTCACACCCCTGACACGCTTCGTGGTTCCATAGGGAGCTCCACCGAAGGTCCCAGTGGCGCAGTCCGCATGGCGGCGCCGCCCCATTTTCGCATACCCCTCACAAGTTGTGTTGCCTCACAAAGGGGGCTCGACATCAGGCCCTGGTAGCAACGCCCGCATGGCAGCCCCGCCCCATTTCGGCACACTCTTCACGCGCATCGTGGCCCCATATGGAGATCCACCGAAGGCGATACTAACAGCAACGGTATTCACAACTGCATATGGTTGGGTCCTTCGCCAGGCGAATTTTGCGAAAACCTGGGTTATTGAAGGATTTCAGCATGCGCGCGCAACAACGCGCGCGCACGTCGTCCCAATTCGTTTGCACTGGGTACTTGCTGACTTGTGATAAGCGGGTGTGCGCGCATAACCGAATTCTGCAAAAGATGATGAGGCCACTCGATACCGGTAAGGCTAAGATGATACGAACTCATATTAAGAATGCACGATGGGGCAAAATCGTATGTAACTTGCACGTTTCCACCGGGGGAATAATCCCAGCCTCGGGGGGCGTAAATCATATTTTGATAAAAGCGAATATATGTTGTGTGAGCTACGTGGTGCACTATATGGGGCGCAATCTAAGTGGCGCAATCCACTTTGCAGAACTTGAAATTGACAGCTCCACTGCTCGCGCAGTCATCCGACCATCCCACCCGCAACGTGGTTTTCAAAACCCCTACGGCGGTGATTGCGATGGCTGCTTGGCACTGGCTGGCGCGTCTCTGCGGCCGCGCTAGCGCGCGCAGGCTCGCGCGCAGAGCGGCCACCTAGTTAGGCACAACCGACGCGGCCGCGGTAGCGCTGACCGATGGGGACTTCCCAGCGCGTCTCAGTGCGGATCGGTGACTCGAGCGGGCGCGGTATCATGGTGACGTCAACTACGGCGGAAACGATGATGATAGTAGCGAGTAGCGACGATGGTGACGGTGATAACGATGTCGACGACAAGGCCAATGACGGCGCCGATGCTCGTCACGCCGATGATGATGTTGATGCCCATGTTTCGCTGACGAGGGGGTTGCGGACCACCGACTCCATGGCCCCTACTCACGGCGGCATCATTCCCCTCGCGCGCCCGCGCAGCTTCGCCCCGCCCGCACGCACGCCAGGAACACTAAACCGAAACAGATTTCCCGATGGGGTGCGCTCCGCTCCTCTGCGATCTCACCCGCCAGCCTCCGATCCGCGCCCCCGCAGTCTGGATTATGGAGCGCTCTCCCGCGGATGCGCGGTCGCACGGATGCGCCCCGCGCGGGGGGCACCCTCAACGAGACACGCCCCGTATCCGCGGGGTCGCAGCCCAGGGGCCCGGCCCGCGAGGCCGCGGATGCGGACATGTTCTTCGCCCACGGGTGGTGGTGCGAGGCGGGGATCGATTTGAGAGCCGTCGGCGGGGGTGGCGCCGCCAGGGGGGCCCACCACGAGACTCGGAGGCGGCCAGAGCTGCCCCGGGGGCAAGCACGGCGAGACCCGAGTCGTGCCGCTGGGCCCGCCGCGCGGGGCGCAGCGCGTGCGCGCCCCTGCGACCAGGTCGGGCGCGTCCTCTTACAGGGGGTTTTTGTACGAAAAACTGAAAATTGTCAAACAAATATCCCAGAGCGACCCTACCTAGGAGTTGGAGCCCCGAGGAGAGCAATATTAGTAGTAACGGTAAACGCCGTCCTCCTCCTCTCCTCATCGTCGCAGTTGTAGCAGTAGCGGTAGTAGTAGTAATAGTACAGCTTAATACCTACATATACATCTAGACCTACATCCACATCTACACCTACAGCTACATCTACATGTACACACGCATCTACATCTACACCTACATCTACAACTACACTCACATCTACATCTACATCTACACATACATCTACACCTACATGTACATCTACATCTACATCTACACCTACATCCACATCTACACCTACACCTACATCTAAATATACAGCTACACTTTCGCATTGGTTTTGTTTTTGCTTCGCATTGCCTTTGCTATTGCTCTTGCATTTGCTTTTACCTTTGAGTTTTCGTTGATTTTGCTGTTGCTGATGTTTTTGCTTTGCTCTTGGTTTTGCTTTTCCTTGGTTTTGCTTTTGCTTTGCCTTCGCACACACACACACACAAACACACGCATGTTTTTGCATTCGCTCACCCGGTGTGCTTGAGAATGCCCCGGATCCGGCCTACATTGCACGACCTGGCATTGAGCAAGGCTGGGCTTAAAGGGGCCCCGCAGTGTTCCTCGCCCCAGGCGGTTCCCCCAGTATCCGCCCCGCGGTTCCCCCAGCTGCGCCCCCTTAGCTTAGCCTTGCTTATCTCATCTTAGCTTAGCCTAGCTGAACTTAGCTTCGCTTAGCTTAGCTTAGCTTAGCTTAGCCTAGCCTAGCCTACCTTAGCTTAGCTTAGCTTAGCTTAGCTTATCTCATCTTAGCTTAGCTTAGCTTAGCTTAGTTTTGCCTAGCCTAGCTTAGCTTAGCTTAGCTTAGCTTACCTCATCTTAGCTTAGCCGTTGCCTTAGCTTAGCTTAGCTTAGTTTGTCGCACATTGCTTTTGCTTTGCCTCTCCTTTGCTCTGCTGTTGCTTTTGCTTTGCTTTGCTTTGCGTTGCTTGTGCTTTGCTTTGCTGTTGCTGCTCTTGCTGTGCCTTTGCTTTGATGCTATGCTATGCTATGCTATGCTATGCTATGCTATGCTGCGCTATGCTACGCTATGCTATGCTATGCTGCGCAATTCTGCGCTATGCTGCGCTATGATATGCTATGCTATGCTAGGGTATGCTAGGCTGCGCTATGTTATGATATGCTATGCTATGCGATGCTGCGCTATGTTATGCTATGATATGATATGTTATGATATGATATGATATGATATGATATGATGCGCTATGATATGTTATGATATGATACGCTAAACTATGCTGCGCTATGCTATGCTATGCTAGGCTATGCTATGATATGCTGTGATGCACTACGCTATGCGATCATATGCTCAACTATGATATGGTATGCTATGATATGCGATGCTGCGCTATGCTACGCAATGCTATGCTATGCTGCGCTATGCTATGCTATGCTAAACTGTGCTGCGCTATGCTATGCTATGCTATGCTATGCTATGCTATGCTATGCTATGCTATGCTATGCTGCGCTGTGCTATGGTAAGCTAAGCTATACTGTGATATGATATGATTTGATATGCTGCGCTTTGCTATGCTATGCTATGATATGATATGCTATGCTATGCTGCGCTATGTTATGCTGCGCTATGGCATGCTATACTATGATATGTTATGATATGATATGCTATGGGATGCTAATGCTGCGCTGCGCTAAGCTAAGCTAAGCTGAGCTAAGCTAAGCTAAGCTAAGTCAAGCTAGGTTAGGTTAAGCTAAGCTAAGCTAAACTAAGCTAAGCTAAGTTAAGCTTAGCTAAGCTAGGCTAGGCTACGCTAAGCTAAGCTAAGTTTAGATAAGTTAAGCAATGCTAAGCTAAGGTGAGATAAGCAATGCTAAGCTAAGGGGGCGTCCGTGGGGGAACCGCGGGGCGGATACTGGGGGACCGCCCAGGCCAGTTCCCACTGCCCGGCCCTTTAAGCCAAGAGAGTAAGAACCCTTCTAGGCAGAGCCTAGGTAGGGAAATACTCCAAAATGGTCGAAAAGAGTCAAAAAAAACTTCCCACGACTATGTGTTGACTATTTTTGAATACTCCTCCTGTAAAGGGACAGGCCCGACTCAACCCTACGAGAGGGAAGCGGGCCCACGGCGCAACCGACCTGGGCGATACGCCCGACGCTGCGGGCTCTCTCACGTCGCGGCGCACCACGGCGCCAGGGCATCCACGGCCACAAGTGCTCTGCGGCCCCGCCCCAGGTCCGAGGGGACCAGTGGATGTGGATATCTTCCCGCCCTCTGGGCCCTCCTCCTCCTCCTCCTCCTCCGCCTCCTCCGCCGCCTCCTCCTCCTCGAGATGTCCTCGGGGCCCCAAGGGCCCCGACTCCGAGGCGGTGAATGTGTGGATCTCTTCCGGCGGGGGACGGGAACCTCCCGGCCAGGGATTCGGGGAACATGGCGCCGAGCCTGGCACGGAAGCGCCCCTGGAGACACCGACCGGCACAGAAGCATCCCAAAGTTCGAGAGAGCGTGCTTCACCGCCGCTTTACTGTGGAAAATTCCCCCCCCACTTCCTCCGGAACCCGGAGGTCCCCCCCCGCTCCGAAAATCCCCCCCGCCCCCCCTGCTGCACCCCTCCCCCCTGCCCCCCCTATACCCCCCCCCCTCCGGAAAACCGCCGGGGGCACAGAAGCCCCGCGGCAGGCACCACCTCTGGGCAGCGACTGACAGGGGCAGCTCGCCCGTCGGACCGCCGCTGCGGGCCCCTGACACCCCGGGAGCCCTGCCCGCGCGCGGCGCGGGCGCGGCACGTCGGGAGGCCAGCACGGAGAGCCTCCGGGGATGGATAGCGAGGACGAGCGCGCGCGTCTGCCAATCCCTGCGGCGGCACCTCGTCCGGCTGCCAGCCCAGGTGCTTCTCGACCTCTGCGGCGCACAACAGGAAGGCCTGTCCAGAGGGGGGGCGCCCAGGAGGTAGGAAAAGAGGGGAGCAACAAGAACCGATTGTCGGCTGTAGCAGACTTATCGGATCTCACACTCTGCCGTTCAGTAGAATGCCTCTTAGCCGAAACCTCAGCCGAAGAGCCGTCGGCCTGATGTTGTACACATGCGTGCACGTACACGTGCACGTAAACGTCTACGTGTGAGCATGAGCACACGTAGGCGGCGTGCACATACACAGCGTATGTACAAACATACGTACCGACACACATGTGTGTATGCATGTACACGTACATGAACACACCCATGCTAGTATACACGCCTACACAATTACCTGGCGATGCTGACCTGCACATGCACGTGCGGTATTGAAGTCGAACACTCAAACATGCATGTGTACATCTACTCCCCCTGGCAGTGGCGGCGAGGGCTAGGAGGCCCCAGAGAGGAAGAAGCGAGTGCATCGGCATGCCGTTCTCCTCTGAAGAAGTGGCAAACCATCCCCTCGGACGTCGTGGTCTCTGATCGCGACGTGGCCCCCCCAGAGGTCTGGATCCCTCTCCCGAGGAGGGCTTCTCATCCAACTTGGGTGGTTGACGGCCCTGGGGAAGAGAACGGCCTCCAGAGTCCAAAACGCTGTATGTGCATGTATGGTTTATTCGACGCGGAGAACCCGATATGTGCATCTCATGCTCTGGCAATTCCCGCTGTGAAGGTCTGAGTTTGGTCGAATCTCAGCCGGAGGGCAACTGAGCGAGAGGGACTCAGAGTGTGAGGGCTATTCTCTGCTGGTCTCCTTCGCCGCCTGCTGATCTGTTCCGTTCATTCCTGAGCAAGACCGCTCTGCGCCGTTCGCTTATGATGTCTGCTACATCGCGGTGATCATGAGGGGTTGGCGGCGGCGCCAAAAAAATGAAGCGCTTGATACATCCCCACGATGTGGGCGTGAACGGGAAAATGTAATACCCGATGGCGGCTCCCCCTAGGGGCGCCCAAATGCCGCGCCTGCTACATCGGGGGGATCATGAGGCCCTGACAAGAAATGGGTCGGCAGCGCCGAACAAGCGAATCGCTCGAGACATCCCCACCCTCGAGGCGCGAACGGGAAAATGGAATACCTGCTGGCGGTTCCCTCCTGTGGCGCCCAGATGCCATGCCAGCTACATGTGAGCGATCGATGGCGCCAGACAAGCGAACCGCTTAAGATATCCTCACAATCTGGGCGCGCACGGAGAAATGAAATACGACCTGGCGGTTCCCCCGTGGGGTCACTCAGTACCACGCCTGCCACAAAAATCTGAGCACATGAGAGTGAGGCGGTTGTGGGTACCGGTGGATCTGAGTGTGCGTGTGTGTGTGTGTGCGGTCTGAATTGAAATAACCTGGGCATTCTGAATGTGACCCTGAGTGTGAGTGAATATGACTGTGGGCCTGGATATGCGTGACAGAGAATTGGTTAGTCTGAGTGTCAAGCTGAGTATGAGCGATAATCAACGAGCAGAGGTCCTACTCGTTGGTGCCTGTGCGTACGAGCTACGAGCTGAGTATGAGTAGATCTGAGCTGGGTTGTCTGAGTACGAGTGGGTCTGAGCACAAGTGAACCTGAGCAGCAGAAGCTCTGAATTTGAGTCTGAGTATGACCTCACTGAATGTGAATGAAATTGAGTGCGAGTGAGTCTGACAACGAGTGATACTGAGTTTCAGTGAAGATGAGTGCGGAGTGCTTGTGCATAAAGTATGATGGGGAAGGAGGCAGAACGAAGAGAAGCAGGCGGAGGGGATGCACTAAGAACAGAATCCCCGTCGGAAGATATGGAAATAACAAAACTTTGCGCGCCGTCAGTTGTTCTGTCGGCCCAGAGGGGGGACCCGAACTGACATGTCAAGCCCCTTCCTCCAAAGATTGCCCCCGAGACCACCAGCATGCCCCCAAGACGCCCCCAAGAGGCCCCCAGGGGCTCCCATGACGCCCCCAAAAGACCCCAAGAGGCCGATGAGAGGCCCTAACAAGCTTCAAAAACGAGGGGTGCCTGGCCGGCCAAAATCCTATCGTTTCTGGTTTTGGTTCTTTTCCAAAAGAACTCCCCCTGGGGCTCCCGCGCGTCCCGCCGGCCACCCGGAAAGGACCTCAATCCAGAAAAAATCCGCCAAGACAGCTCAAGATGGCCTCCAAGATGGCCACGTTGGCCCAAGATGGCCTCCAAGATCGTCCAATATGGCCTCCGAGCCCGCCCAAGATGGTCCAAGACGGCCTCCAAGACGGCCCAAGAGAGTCCAAGACGGCCCAAGACGGCCCAGGAGGCCCCCCAGAGGCCTCCAAGACGGCCCAAGAGGCCTCCAAGAGGTCCTCCAGGAGGGCCCGAAGAGGCCAAAATAATTGATTTTCCTTGGGTCTGTGAAGGATTTTGGCATTCGCTTCTTCTCGGCATTCCGACGGCTCAAGACGGCCCAAGAGGCCCCCAAGATCGCCCCAAGATCGCCCAAGAGGGATCCAAGAGGGCCCCATGACGGTCCAAGAGGCCTCTAAGACGGCCCGAAGAGGGCCCCAAGACGGCCCAAGAGACCTCCAAGACGCCCAAGATGGCCTCCAAGACGGCCCCGCCCTAAGAGGACCCGAAGTCGGTTCAGAGAGGCCCCCAAGACGGCCCCCGACGGCGTCACACGTACCAGGAACCCACCAAGATGGCCGAAATTGGCTCGAAGCTGGCCCAAGACGGCCCAAGAGGCCTCCAAGAGGACCTCCAGGAAGGCCAGAAAAGGCCAAAAACACATATTTTCTTTAGGTTTTTAGGATTTTGACATTTGCTTCTTTTCGGCCTTCCGACGGCCCGAGACGGCCCAAGAGCCCCCAAAGATCGCTCAAAGATCGCCCACGAGGCCTCCAAGATGGCCCCAGAACGGCCCAAGAGGCCCCCAAGACGGCCCCAAGAGGCCCCCAAGACGGCCCAGGAGGCCTTTAAGCCGCCCAAGATGGCCTCCAAAACGGCCCTGCCCAAGAGGGCCCAAGTCGGCCCAGAGAGGCCCCCCCAAACGGCTTCCGACGGCGTCAGACGGGCCAGGAGCCCACCAAGACAGCCGAAGATGGCCCTAAGATGACCCAAGACGGCCCAAGAGGCCTCCAAGAGGGCCTCCAGGAAGGCCCTAAATGGCCAAAATCAGTGATTCCCAATTTTTTTAGGATTGTGGCATTTGCTTTTTTGTTCGGCCTTCCGACGGCCCGAGACGGCCCAAGTGCCCCCAAAGATCGCCCAAGAGGCCCAAGACGGCCCCAAGAGGCCCCCAAGACGGCCCAAGAGGCCTCCAAGACGCTCAAGATGGCCTCCAAGACGGCCCAAGAGCCCTCCAAGACGTCCTCCAAGCAGGCCCGAAAGGGTCAAAATGGCTTCCAGACGGCCAAGATGACCTTCAAGATGCCCACGTGTTCCCCGAACGCTTTCCAAACCGATTCGGGGAACACATGGTCCGATAGCTTGGCAGATCTGGCCTCAACGTTCGGCCACACAGGCGCTTCCAAAAAGGCAGGGGGCGGCGGTGATTCGCCGTAGGCGTCCTCGATCCGCCGCGCCCTCTCGATTTATCAAAGGGGTGCGTAGCATGCTGGATTTTTCACTGCTCGGTCCTTTTCCAAAAGTCCAACCGGCCCCTAACTCAGCCCGCTGGCCACCCGGAGTGCCGGAAAATGTACAGTCCATCGGTTCCCCATCGGTTCCCCCTCCGCTGTAGACGGCCCCAAGATGGCCTCTAAGACGGCCTAGCAGCTAAGATGGCCCCAAGAGAGCCCAAGACGGTCCCAAGACGCCGCCAAGACGGCCCAAGATGCATCCAAGATGGCCCAAGATGCCCTCCAGACGGCCCAAGAGGCCCAAGACGCACAAAGAGGGATCCAAGAGGACCTCCAGCAGGCCAACAACATGAATTGTCCCTAGGACTTTCAATGATTCTAGCGTTCTCGCCTTTTCGGGCTTCCAACGCTCCAAGACGGCCCCGCAGGACCCTAAGATCTCCCCAAGACGGCCCAAGAGGCTCCCAAGACGGCCCCAAGACGGCTCCACAGACCTCCAAGAAGTGCCCAAATCGAGACCCACGACTGCCCAGATAGGCCCCCAAGACAACCTCCGAAGGCCAGGAGGTCCCTTGGAAGCTCCCTAAGCCCCCAAGAGGCCTCCAAGAGGCCCCGAAGAGGCCCATGCAGGAGGCCCCGAAGAGGCACCAGGAGGCCTCCAAGAGGCCCTCGCAGACCTCCAAGAGGCTCCCAAAGCCCCCAGGAAGCCACACAAAACGGCCTCAGGAGGTCTCCTTTACCTTCACTCCTTTTCCTTATAGGTAACTCCTCCCTGTCGCACTCCGTGCTGGTAGGGCGGGCCGGGCGTTTCACCTGAGACTTCCTCACCATGTATCACCCTAAACCTTGAAATTTGCAACAGCTTCACTGATGGAGGGGGCGGATGATTTTCAAAATGCGGCTCTCGTCTTAGCGCCGCGCACTCTCGTGTCAAGCATTTGCAAGAGCTTCGCGAATGGAGGGTCGCCCGCTTTCAAAAGGTGGCTCTCGCCTTAGCGCCGCGCACACACGTTCTTACCATTTACAACAATTTCAGGCTTCTCATGGTTACCTTCCCAGAACCCGCGTTTGCGCACGATGTCGGAATGTCAGGGAGCAACAATTACGTTGATTCGCGGTGTTGACGTTCCAGGAACGGTGTTCTGGCACGATTCAGGACCGTCAAGACGCCGGAGTTTCGCGGATTTGAAATTCCAGGAATGGTGTTATACACAGTGCAAGGTTTTCAAACGGTTGTCTTCCCACGGGGCACTTCCCTCAGTGAAAATGAACCCTTGTATGGGGCCTATCAAGAGTGAACTTGGAAAGAGGGATTATTGCAATATCGTTGATGGGCCTTGGGTTTACACTGGTCATCCTGCTTCTGGTCCTCCTCCTGCTCCACCCTCTCATCCTCCCTACGGCCGCGGGAACACATTATCCAATAGCTTGGCCAGATTGTGGCC